ATATTTTTATTAAATTTTTAAGGAATAACATTTTTAATCATACATTTTTCACAACGAAACCGGTTGATTCATTTTTTTTTATGAACTCATGTACAACAATATGTTCAGGCCAGAATCCAGGATTTAAGATCTGGCTAAAAAGCGGATCAGGAAGCAGGATTTTAAACGATGAAATCTTTCGCTTTTGTTTATTATAAATTTTTCTGATCTGTATCTCATCGGGATAGGGATACGAAAGTTTGGTAACTACGTAATGTTTAAGGGCATCTTCAGTAGTTGATGGAATAAGTCTAGACACGAACACAGCCTTCAATGGAGGAACCGCTGTTAGAATTTCTGGAAGAGGTAAAGCGTTGGGAGGCTTTTTTCTCACTGAATGAACCGGTAAAATAGCAGGATTTTGCTGGCCAAGATCCCATGTTTCCGATGTTTTAGGTTTCCCTTCAGAAATGTTATTTTCAACAATAGTACAGTCGTCTTCATCACTAGAACTGGTGTTTCCAGGAGGCTCTGATCTAAACGCGGGATCACATAGCATCTTAAGCGAAGCAAAGGCTGATTCCAACTGCATACACTTGTCATGAATGACTCGAAATTCTTTAAAGAGCTCATTAATTTCCATACGTGTTTGCCTAATAAACGTTCCCATTTGAGACTTTATCAGTCTGCAGTCTTTGCAGGACCATTTCAGACCATTTTTCAAATCACGATCAGGTATACCCGCGCATTTAAAATGAGCATACTTGTCACATAGCCAGCATTGAACACTCTGATCATAAGTTAAGTCGTTGAATTCGCACGAATCCATACAGCAGCTCAACATTTCCATTGGCAATTAACTGCTATCAGAATATATACAAAAAAACACGACCACAAAATTTAAGGTAAAGAGCAGGAACTTTATTAGTTCTTTGGGTTCAACAATATGTTTGTTTAAGAGCAAATCGCGAACGAATAACACACGCGAACGAAAGAAGCCCTCAAAAGGGCTTTGAAGAGTTGGTAACCCAAATACTCGGCAACGTAAATAAAATGCGACAAGCAGCTTGGAAGTTCGAATGACGAATGACGGTGCTGTGTTCGAGATTAGATTTATTTGTAAACATAACCAAAGAGCTCTTGACTACGAAGAAGACTATCGGTGAGGCATGAAAGTAATTATTTTTATTATCTGAGTAAAATCTGTTGCCAAAGAACTGAACACTGAAACTTTGAATGGTTTTAATGGCTCTCTAAAATTCTTGTTACAACACCTGAAATATTACAATTGAAAATTGTGCTAGAGGTTTGATCACTTCTGTATACTCATGACGCGGTGTGGGTTTGGGAATATAAATGAAATGTGCACGGAAAGCCGCTTAGCAGGGAGACAGAAAATATGCGAATAAATTATGTGTGGCCACCTAGCATATATCCACATCAGTTGCTGTAATCCTCACATGTCTGCCCGGCATATTGGTTCTATGTCTGTGCCAGCGTCTTTTGTTCGCGATGAAAGTGTTTTCGAAATGAAGGAACTCACGGTCAACAAAATTAGAACAGCCATTGCAGGGCTACCAAAATGATTGTATGCATTTTGTTAAACTTAGTCAGAGAAAAGGCGGAATTGTCACATTCATACTCATACTTATAAATATATAACTCAATCTCTTTTGTTGAAGGTTTCTTCAAATTAGAACTACCATAAACCAACAAAAAAATATGTATTTGTGATTTAAATTCATCGTATGTATTAGAAAAGGCTTGAAATCGAAAGTTTTTCTTGATATATTACGCTGATTTAAAATAGCATTCCCACTAGAAGTCAACTTTTTCTTCTGTGTAAAAAATTTAAAAAAAGAGAAGGTCATAAGGGGAACTGTTAAACAAACGATAGTCGTTATAAGCTTGAATAAGTTATCATTATCGGCTTTTTAATTTAATATTTGGACAACATTTACAAATACATTTTTATGTTCTTGGAAAAAAATAGTACTTCCCTTTAATGGTCATTCACATTTCAACACCACAGTGGGGATGATAGCTTCGTTTCACCCCATTTTTTTTGCCATGCTTTCAGTGCCTGAGTTCCCCCGATAGTAGGTGGCTGGCAAAAGCCGAAAACCGAAAAAAAACATTGAGCAGAGAACAAATGCAAAAGCCGTGCACACCAAATAATTATGAACCGGGGGACAGAGACATGACAGAGAAATACCGACAGATAGAGAGAGAAAAAAGTAGCAGAGGCAGACAGACAGGTGGTAATATGGGGATACTGGCGGTGGATTAGTCGTGCGCTGGCTGCCAAATGCGATTGCGAATCGGGAAAAAATGGAATCCGAAATCAGTGCCAGCTCACTGGGCTATATATAAAAACATCTGTACGTGGAATTACTTTACAGCCAATTAGACTTTGTGTTTGATTTGCTAGACGATTTCGAATGGGAATGTTTCTTGATCCTGTGACCAAACCGAAAAATTGGATCGACTTCAACCCGTCGAAAAACGTATGTAAAGCAAATATGGCGCAACGTAACGCGCCAGCGCAACGTAAACAAAATATGTGTTGCTCGCTTCGTCTCCTCAACTATTTCCCATTCTCATTTTTACACAGAGAACTATGCATATTAATCATTAATGCATATACAATTTTTTTCTAGAAAACGGAACATATGATTTTAAGGCCAAAAATTGACCAATGTCAGACTTTGATATTCAAATTATATCCTGTTTTGTCTTAACAATATTTTAGTTTTTTATTATTAATAATATTACTAACACATATAAATTATCTTTCAAATTTTGTAACTTTGGCATGCTTTAAAATATAATTTGGGAATATTTATAAAACTCATTTAAGTTTTTAGTTAACATATGCGGTAGGTTTCCTGCATTATTTTCGAAAGTTCAAACTAGAAAAAATCATATAGTAATTTAAAAACTTTTTAGTAAATAAACAAAAAGATATTAGATTGTTTTTTCTGTCTGTATTTCTATTCCCGTTCCCACGTTCATACTCTTTCATATTCGCTCAGTCGCATTCTCAGTCGCAGTCCTTGGCGAAACGCAGCGCGTTCGATCGCCAGACGATTATATTATTTTTTGTTTGTGCTAAATTTAAAAATCCGCGTTAATTTTAGTTTTACGCCCAATAACGAGTTTGGCTGAAAAATCAGTTCGTTACGTTCAATAAGCAGTGCAGTGTAAGCAACGTGGGAGCTGTATTTTTTTTTAGCCCCGGGGGCAAAGCTTTTTAATTAATTTGCAATCTCTTAACCCGACGTGCAACCGTTTTCCAATAATGGCCAAATGCAATTTACCGCTGGAATGAAAAACGGATGGCGGAGAGGAGAAATGGCCAGCATATGTTCCGTGCTCCCAGGGGCGTCTGCCTGTCTCATCTTCATTTACTTTCTCCTCTTTCTACCCCCTTGCCATCTGCCTTCCATCTCCCTCGCTCGCTATAAGTCTGTCCCGCTCTTTGTCTATCTATATCGGCGCTGCTGTCGGCTCTTGTTGTAATTGCTAAATTAATGCAAACGTTGATGATTATCTCAGCCCCTTCGCCATAAACCATGGGGCATATTGATTTATTGGATTTCGAAGCCAGTGCCAAAGTGTTGTGCCATCCGATTGTGTGTGCTGGTGATCCAAATGTGCATATTAAAAAAAAAACTCAACTATAAATACGCCAGAGCTCTGTGAACGATGGGATTTTAGAGTCAGTTCTCCTTTTAAAGAATTATCGTCTTCCTGTCAAAACCCACCATTAAAAACAATAAAAAAATTGCTTGACTTGGTGATATTTGCAGTTTTAAAAGTTGGGTGCCTAGTTATCAACAGTTTTTATCTGCATGTGTGCAATTCCCTCATATTCCCCCATATTCCCCCATATTCCCCCTTCTGTATTTTCTGCATTTATCTTCTCTTTGTCTTGTCAATCACTTGTTGGCTTTTTGTTGCCGTCCAACGTAAATGTTTTTGGTTCCGTTTCTAGTTCCCGTTATTGACATTGGAGAATTATGTACATATTTATATATTATCGATTTCTCGGTCAAGCACGCCCATTTCGGTGCATTTTCCTCTCCTTGGGTTCACAAATCAATTTGAAAATTTCATCTCAGTCTGTTTTTAATTTTTTCAGAAAATGAACTTTGTTTGCCTCTAGCTTTCCATCTGTTCTGGCAAATTTAATAGTTGCACTTTTGTTTATGTTTTATGCTGTCTATTTACGCATTTAATTTCATGTTCGTGTAAATACACAAAACAGCTGAACGACTGCCTGGCAAAGCTCAAAGGAAAAAGGCAACAAGCAAAACGCCCACCTCCACCTCCACACAGGGCGAAATACAGACTCAATTTAAATTTAATTTTGGTTTTTGTCAATATGAGAGCAGGGCAATCGTTTTTCAGAAAGTACTTTATAAAGTTTATGCCTTGTGTTTTCTGCATAAGTGTGGTCATTCATTCTGAAAGCTATTTAACAAAAAAAAGAACAAATCATTTAACAATTTTGTTGCTTGATTAGTGTATGGTTGTTTTTGTTTATGGGTATTTGAGCATTGCAAAATGTTTGCCAATATTTTTCTTGATAAGTGAAAGGTATTTGTTTTCTGTTGGCATGGAGGCATTGCTGAATCTGTGAACAAAATAGTTTAAAACAAAAACTAAATGATTACAAGTACACGTGGAGAAAGTGTTACAAATACAACTCTAATACTTTGGCTCGGGTTAATTTCGATTAATTGGGCCAATGGGAACTGTTTACTAGTTTTTTTGGTCAACCCATTGTACCACCAATCTGCTGATGCATATCCATGCCACCCGTGTGGTGGTGATCTGGGCGGGCAATGCTAGCGACTATTTGCGGGCTTTCGCAACCTTCGCAGTGGCATTGCGCTTGGCGACACACTCGTGATGCAATGCACCCGAAATAGGCGCCCGAGAATAGGAACCGCACTCGTAATGGACGCAAGTCAACTAACTAACGCTCTTTTCTCTCCATTCCTCTCCCTCCGCAGGTGCAGCGGCCCAACTGCGCCAGAGTGTTGAACGTGCCAGTGCGAGAATGCCTTCTCGCGGTCCCACGTCATAGTCATCCTCATTAGCAACGAGCAACACTCCCGGCAGCAACACCAATTGCAACTGCAGCAGCAGCAGCAGCAACCAGCAATTAGCAGCCAACTACGAGCAACTAGCAACCAACTAACAAGCAGCACAAATCACAGCCAAATCGAACGCAACAAAGCTTCCAGAGTCCAGAGGCCAGAGCAGGAGAGCCAATCACTTCCAGGACAGGGAGAAGCCATCCCAGCCAGTAACCAGCCATGCAGTTGCTCCTCAAGTCAATCTTCACCTGCGCACTACTAGTGATCTTCGTGTACGCCACCGCCCAGTCACTCCTCAAAGTGCAGGAGAGCGAGGCGCGGCGGGCGTATCTCAATGGCACCTCCACCTCCTCCTCCTCCTCCTCCTCGTCCTCGTCCTCCAGTAATCTCAGCCAGGATGGCCACTTCCTCGGCCGGCGGCTGAGGCAGATGATGCACGGCGAGGAGGGCGAGGAAGGGGCGCCCTCGCAGATGGAGGACGACCTCAACCAGCAGTTGAAGACCAACGTGGACGCGCCGGACAAGGAGGAGCTGCGCAAGTGCAGCGAGGGCCTGGTGCTGCCCGTGTGGACGCCGGAGTTCAACATATCCATGGGCGACCGCCTCATCCGCGGCTTCGTCTACTTCGTCCTGCTGATCTACCTGTTCGTGGGCGTGTCCATCATAGCGGACCGCTTCATGGCCGCCATCGAGGCCATCACGTCCATCGAGCGGGCGGTGGTGGTCAAGGGGCCGAACAACGTCAAGCAGGTGATGCACGTGCGCATCTGGAACGAGACGGTGGCCAATCTCACGCTGATGGCCCTCGGGTCGAGTGCCCCCGAGATCCTGCTGTCCGTGATCGAGATCTACGCGAAGGACTTCGAGAGTGGCGACCTGGGGCCCGGCACCATCGTGGGCTCCGCCGCCTACAACCTCTTTATGATCATCGCCGTGTGCATGATCTGGATACCGGCGGGCGAGGTGCGACGCATCCGGCACCTGCGCGTCTTCTTCGTGACCGCCCTCTTCTCGATTTTCGCCTACGTGTGGCTGTGGCTCATCCTGTCCGTGTTCACGCCCGGCGTGATCCTGGTCTGGGAGGCGATCGTGACCTTGCTCTTCTTCCCGCTGACCGTGCTATGGGCATACATCGCCGAGCGGCGGATGCTCGTCTACAAGTACATGGACAAGAACTACCGCGTGAACAAGCGCGGCACCGTGGTGGCCGGCGAGCACGACCAGGTGGAAATGGATGCGGAGAAGGGGCCCAAACACCCGATGGTCACATCCGCGCGCGGCACCGACGCCGAGGCCTTCGACGAGGCCCGTCGCGAGTACATCACTGTGCTGACGGAGCTGCGCCAGAAGTACCCCGACGCCGATCTCGAGCAGCTGGAGATGATGGCCCAGGAGCAGGTGTTGGCGCGGAGCAGCAAGTCGCGCGCTTTCTACCGCATCCAGGCCACTCGCAAGATGGTCGGCAGCGGCAACCTGATGCGCAAAATTCAGGAGCGAGCCCACAGCGACCTCACCGAGGTCAAGGCCCAGCTGCAAGCCGGCGACGACGATGAGGCGGACGACCCCATCCGCATGTACTTCGAGCCGGGCCACTACACCGTCATGGAGAACTGCGGCGAGTTTGAGGTGCGGGTGGTGCGTCGCGGCGACATCTCCACCTACGCCAGCGTGGAGTACGAGACGCAGGACGGCACCGCCTCCGCCGGCACCGACTTCGTGGGCCGCAAGGGCCTGCTCAGCTTTCCGCCCGGCGTCGACGAGCAGCGCTTTCGCATCGAGGTGATCGACGACGACGTCTTCGAGGAGGACGAGTGCTTCTACATCCGCCTCTTCAATCCCTCCGAGGGCGTCAAGCTGGCCGTGCCCATGATCGCCACCGTCATGATCCTGGACGACGATCACGCCGGCATCTTCGCCTTCACGGACTCCGTCTTCGAGATCACCGAGTCCGTCGGCAAGTTCGAGCTGAAGGTGATGCGCTACTCCGGCGCCCGCGGCACAGTCATCGTGCCCTACTGGACGGAGAACGACACGGCCACCGATGCCAAGGACTATGAGGAGGCTCGCGGCGAACTCATCTTCGAAAACAATGAATCTGAGTGAGTATTGCACTTTTCCTTCTTATTTATGAGCCAATCGAGCTCAGGGTTAGTTACACAGCATCTTGCATGGCCTCATGGTAGAGTTATTTGACGGATGGAACTCTTTCTGACATAAAATATTTCAAATTATAAGTAAAAAGCAGATAGTAACTTCATTTTCATAGTCTGACTTAAAGCTGCGATAATAGAGGAAACTAGTAATTTCCTAACTGTTTTCCAAAATACAATTAAGCTCATGTTTGGTTACACAACATTATTTTTAGGTTTATTAAAGAGGTATTTCATGGAAGGAACTTTTTCTGATATTTTTGAATACTTTAGATTTAATTTAGAGTAAACATTAAACATTATCTTTATATCCAAAGTTAAATAAATAAAACTAGCAAATTTTTACCATGTAACTAAATTTAAGCATCCAAACAGTCTTGGCTAATGGGAAGCTCGTAGAAAAAAGTTTCTTTCTTGTTTTGATAGTTAGTTGGACCTACATAAGTCATAGCCTAGAAATCACTAATTTGTTGTTTTAGGTCTTTGTGGGAACACTGGGTTAAGTTGTGCTTTGCCATGCATGTCTAAAGTCCCGGGACTTTGCTCCGCCCTATCGATTGCGGCGGAATATCCCGACACCCGATGTCACGCAATGCGAACTCCCGGCGGAGTCTTTTGGCCAACTCGCAATTTCCGCTCCGGGAATAGATAGGCTGCGAATCGATTAAAGTCGGAATAATTGGGGCTTTTTAATTGACACACCAGCTGCCAGCTGCCAGATGGCATTGGCAGTGGCAGTGGTGGCCGGGAGCGCAAAATGGCAAACTCTGCGTAGTCATCGCTTTTGCTCCTTTTCTGGGCAGCACCTACCCACCAGTCCTCCAACCCCATCGCGAATCTATTGTGGTTGAGCGTGTGTGACTGTTTTCCTGCTGGGTGCCCGGTGGCCCAATTTTCCTGGCTGCGTGCTGGGGGACAACATCCCTTCCAGACATTAACACCCTGCGGGCTGTAATTAATTGTGCAAAATTTATTCATTTTGACAAACATTTGCCAGACGACAGCCGCAATGGCAAGTTAACTGCGTTTGCATATGTTTTTATGTTTTTGTGGCTTTCATGGCCATGTCCGAAATGTCAGGGCGACACGCAACATGGCCACATATAGGTCAGGCTTCGTCGACCCGGTTAGATCCGGGCCTTTTAAGATGATTTATGGTCCGAGAAAAGGCCAAGCATATGCCTCGAATTAGGCTGGTCGAGAATCTGGGAAATGGCTTCAATTTGATGGGCACTAATCAGGATTTACTTGCTGACTTAATTAGAGCATAGACAGGACCTTTTACACAGCGAGAAGAAAAATGTTTCAAACGTTGCACAGGTTTCTCTTAACTAAATGGGAGTGAATAGAATAAAAAGATTTTGCTTATGCTAAATGTAACTGCATTTGCATGGAATTGTGTACTTGCTTATGTCATAAAACGTATTGGTAGTTTTCAAAGCAAAAAACTTATATATATTATAAAAACCATCTTGAATATGAAACAAAAACTGCAAATTCGATTGAGAGCAATGCATTTTATTCTTTGTTTTAGATAACATTTCTCGCTCACTGTACTTAGTGTTTATTATGTGAAACAGCTCTTCTGGGACTGGGACATTTGTATGTATGTTTTTCCTAAGACTCCACTGCACAAAGCCTCATTAACGGCCATCCCGCTCCGGTTTCTTGTAACCCCCCGAGGCAGTTTCGCGCAAAATTGTTTCAAACACGTCGCCACAGACATAACATGAATTTTTGAGGATCTCTGCATTATTAAGTGGTAACGAAAGCGGAGCGTACAATTAGGGGTGGGCCAGCATGAACTTCAACGGGGGAAAACTTAAACGAATAAAGTGGCAACGATGCCGAGCATCGTGTGAAGATGTCTTGCGATGGCGATGTGTCCGGGTGAAACGCTCCCAAAGTGCTCGTTAAGTCGGCACTTAAGCCGTTTTCTCATTTGCCACGACAGTTGGAATACTTTTTAATGTTTGTGTTCCGACTGGATGGATATGGTTGCAATTGCCGCCTTTGCTCTATTTGTCTCGCAATTATTTGCCAACTTTTAAAACGTTTCATTGTCGCCAGTGGCCGAGCGAATTTCCTGCTTCCCCACTGAGCAAGTGCCCCTCCGTGGCGATCCTTGCGGGCCTTTTGTGGCATTTACAGCCACTCAAGTTGAATGCCTTGCGGTGCCGTTGGTAATAATGTTTGTTTTAATGTTGCCAGTTTCGCTGGCGAACTGCCAGCCAGCCAAGTAACCCCGGCCGACTCCCACACACTGATGACGATCTCGGTCTGCCCTGCTCTTCCAGCGGAAATGCCATAAACTAGCTATCACAATTAAGCGCGTTTTGATGTATTTTTAAATGGCCCTTAAAGAGCGGCGGTCTCTTTAAGGGAACTCCAAAAAAATAAAACAAAGCGGTGAGCCAAATTAAATTACTGGCAAATCTACTTTGAAGTCGATGCGTGTGGCTGTGGCTGTGGCTGCAATGAATTAGATTTTTTTTCGCCACAGCAACTTTCTGCGCTCTTCTCTTTTAATGAAAATCAAGAGCCGCCTCTGCCACACAGATATAGATATGTATGGCCCAAGCAAGCCCGACATTTGCCAGCTTTCAGGCAGCGGAAATGCGCAACAGCAGCAGCAGCAGCAGCCATGTAGTCATAAAAAACAGCACCAACAGCAGCGGTAGGCAGTAATGCCATAAAATTCCCCAACGAAACAGGAAAAAAATATGAAAAAAAAGAGCGAAGTGGGCTACAAAGTGCCAGCACTGATGCATAAATTTGTATAATCTTGGGGGGCCGGAGTGGGCACATTTGGATTGAGTTATAGGTCCTTAAATAACCGACTCTTGCAGCGCGCTACGTGTATTAAAAAGCGGCCAAAATCCGTAGCCCGCATATCGAGGCCGCATTTAAGATGAGCCCCTCGGGGAGAAGCACCGTTTCCATTAGCTAAGCCAGACAGGTTTTTCAGACAACTTTACTGTGCGTGGCATTTGTTAATTAGCCACAGTTTAGCCGGCTTGCCACATGGCCTAAATGCTGTTCCCCAGAGAGAGAGAGAGAGAGTGCGAGACTGGCAAATGGAAGACTCTGCAGTTCTGCACGACTTGTCCAGGTTTTTATAGACAATCCCTTGTGAGCACCGCAAATAGGAAGCTTCGAGCACATAAAAGTCAAACATAAAATATGCACATAGCGCCGGAGAGGAGAACATACAGATGAGGGCTTTTATTTTATTAAGCACACATAATCTGAAATGGAAATTTATGCTATTTTCAAATCCAACCACCTTACAAGTTATCATCGTCGTGTGCGGCTTTTGCTTTCACTTTTCGTGTAGCATTTCCTGTGGCCGGCGGGGAATTTCCCGGCACGGTCCAGCTGCTTCACTGACTGACAAGTAATCGGAGTCTGCCTCCAAGTGCCATCCTGCTATCCTGTCATCCTGCCATCCTCCCATATCGGTATCTGTTCTGTGGCAAGCTGCCTAACTGCCAGCCATCCATGTGAGCGTGAAGAGGAGCACACAACCGCTGTGCCCCTCGGCTAAGCCCATTTTGAGGCACTCAGGCACTGGCCGAATACCGACTGGGTTGTGTCAGGAGTCTGCCAGCCTGAGAACCCGATCCGCAAGGAGCTGATTCCTTGTGGCAATATTACTGAGCAGTGTTGCCTGCCATGGGTTGCAGACATTGGATATTCCTCACAGTATACATTACCTCTGAAAATATGCTAAACAATGCATTACGAGTGAAAAAAGGGCATGGGCTGGCGCTTTTTGTTAACAACTATTTTGACCTTGAAATTAATTTTCATTGCCATAAAATACGAGAGGAAACTATTGTTATTTAAACATTTTAGGAACAAGGGCCATATTAAAACGCTTTTGTTTATTCTAAATAATAACTTTGTTCTTCCCATAATTTATTATTCTATTTTGAATATTTATGTCAATGATAAATATACATATAGTATACACATATATAACACCATTTTACCAGAAAATATCTAAGATGGCAGCACTGGAATGACGGGCTGCAAAGAACCAACACTAATTGTGGTTCACGTGTGTGTGCCTTTTAAACAGCCCACATACACACAAAGTTATTCACGGCTTACATTCCTGTGGATGCACAAAGGGTATCTACAATTCGATCGGCCCGAGTGCCAGGGTAGGCCAAAGTTTCTTATTTGCGATTCAATTTGCTTTGGGGCTGCGGCTGGGCTGGGCTGAGCTGGGCTGGGCTTGGGACCCCTGCTCTTGGATCGGCGTATAAATTGCCGACGGTCGGCAACAGGCAGCAAACTGTCCGTCCGTTCGTCCTAGCAAATGTCAATTGGTTGCTTGTGCTGTGCTGTGTTGTTGCCGCTGAGTCTTGGGCTCGGGTATCTCATGTTTATCTGGTTCTCGTTAGCATGAACTGTTTCTTCTGGGGTTGCCCCCGAATCCCCTGGTTCATCAGGTCCCTTTATTTTGGTTACCTCTGTTTTTATTTGCCTCGTTTGTCCGCTTGTTGTTATTATTATTATTATTATTATGACATCAACAGGAAAAACAAGGGCTGGTGAACTTAATCATCGCCATCGCCTGGGCACCGAGATGTTCATCCTCTTGAGGCCAGCCCTCAACTGTTGCTCAAAGGGGTTTCGAGTTTTAAGTTTCCCCAAACCAAAGAAGCTGCTAAGCACCCACCATTGAAACGTCTCTGAGTTCGATTTAGAGCTCTTTAAAACTCGTTGAACTGCCAAGTAAAAGTAATAAAATTGCGATTTGCTCCTGTAATTGCAACGCAAATTGAATAAAACCATCCCGCACCTAGGGAAAGTTTTCTAATAAGCGAAAGTACTGCTGAAGCTGCGTTCAATTTGGAAAGCAATTTCGCTGGCTTAAGTAATTCTGGCAGCGTCAGTTACAAAATGTCTATATTTGCCAAAAGCTAGATGACAGTTAA